ACATTTGGTTTAGATTTGACCTTTCTTTGCTTAAGAACAAGATTTATTACTAGTCAGAAGCCAGCAAGCCCCAATGTTTAGAAAAAAAATAAACAAACACTAGTCTGCTAAAGTGAACCATGCTGTGGCTCCACTGGGTCGTCTGAAAGAGGTCACCCAGATATGACACTGCCGCTTACATTTGCCTAGAAAGTGTCTAAATCCTTCTACCTGCTGGCTTGTGTGATTCCCGAAGTCACCCTCCGCAGGGGTGTCCAACCTGTGGCCCGTGGGCTGCGTGCAGCTCAGAATGGCTGTGAATGCGGCCCAACACAAAATTGTAAATTCACTTAAAACATTATGGGATTTTTTTTGTGATTACGTGTCACAAGGTATTTAAGGTATGGCCCGAGACAACTCTTCTTCTTCCAGGGTGGCCCAGAGACGCCCAAGGGTTGGACAGCCCTGCGTCTAAAGTGTGTTGGGCGGGAAAAGAACACGTGTCATTCATGCATTTCTGTAACACGGGCTTACCGAGCAGAGCGCTCGTGCCAGAGACAGAGAACTGTCAGGTGCTGAGTGTGTGCTAGTTTAGTGCCTGGGATGGACGGACGTGTCCAGTCCTCAGGTGGGAGGGTGGGGCATGAGTCCCACCGTGAGGCAGGCACCCCTCTAAAAGTCTAGACGCCTTCTTTCACTTACTACTCAGAACCAACTGAGGGAAAGGTCTTCTTAATCTTATTTTCTGGAAGGGATGACTAGAACTCTCAGAGGTTAAGGGACCTGAGTGAAGTCATTGGCTGGTCACAGGGAGAGCCGGTGCTCAGATCTGACTTTTCTCAGTCCAGGGCTGTTGACCGCATCCTGGGTTCTTTCCAAATGTGTGACCTCATGTCAACCTGGATCAATTCAAGTTCTCTTTTTCAGTTTCCCACATCCCATGGTTTGGCTTAGAAAGGTATCCGGTGTGACACACGGCAGATCTTCAACATTGGAAACTAGTAACTGTAAGCACTGAATCCTCATGGAGGCTCAGAGAAGGGCAGGGATCATTTTTTGCGAGACCAGCAGTATGGGTGGGATGTCTGGATGGGAAGGAAGATCGGAGAGGAGCTCGGAGAAGTGATCCAGGAATTCCCTGAGACTGGCCTTGACTCAGTAAGTCACCCGGTCAGTTTGAGATGAGTCAGCTGTGGTGTGGGGGCCAACAGCCTCACGAAGAAGCTATCGGGAAGCAGGCCACTGAACAGTACCCCCGGGGAGAATGATCTTAATTACAATCCCTAGCATTTGCATGCCCCTCTACAGTTTACAAAGCACAGGCAACCTGTTTCTTCATCTGCAGCTTGTTGACTGTGCAAATACAGAAGGGACCAGGGTTGGAGATGACCTCGTGGAGGAGTTTTTATAGATTTTAAAAAAGCAAAATCCTTTGTCAAAATGAAATCACACAATAGTCTAGTGGGTAAGATTGGTGTGAGTGGAACTTCTGCGCTTGGGGTAGGGACAGGATTGGGGGGGGCACAGACCATATGTAAGACTTTCCTTTGACCTCTCTGTCTGTTTCTGGGGGGTCTCCGAGGAACCTTCAAGTTCCATGAAACACAGTTAGACAAATACTGTTTCTAGCAAATATCCACCCCGCTTCACACCCCTCCTCTAAACAAGGAAAGCCAAATGCCCTAAATCTAACGTGTACAGGGCCTCTCGGTCTAGGATTCTTTCCATGGAATTCACTAGAACTGGTTTCTCAGGTGGTTAACGCCCGAGGACCTAACTGGGAGCCAGTTTGCCCTCCAGTTATTTTGGGAAAGTGTCTTCAGAGGCAGCAGCAAGGTGACTCTCTGACTCCTGACAGCATTTCTTTGTGTCTGCTCTTCAGGTGGGGCTCAGAGGCCCTGCCTTCATTTTTCAGACAGGCCACCCCTTGAATCACAGAATGCCAGCTGAGTGGTTGGGGACCAGTTTCAGTGATTTTGTTTTAAGTCCCAAATGCTCTCCCTGAAAGTGTGAGAAGAGCAGCCTGTCGGGATGCAGGCTCTCCCCAACTCGAACACTTACATTAGTATTGTCGGAATGTGTGTTACCCTCCAAAATTCACATGTTGAAATCCTTACCTCCCAGTGTGATGGTTTGAGGAGGTGGGGCCTTTGGGAGGTGATGAGGACACAGCCCTTTAAGAATGGGATTAGTGTCTTTATAAGAAGAGACACAGATAAGATCTTGCTCCCCCGCTCTCTTCCTCCTCCCATCCTGTGAGGTTAGGAGAGGATGGGCACCTGCAAACCAGGAAGCGTGTTCTCACCAGAACCCAATCATGCTGGCACCCTGCTCTCAAACTCCCCAGCCTCCTACTTGTGAGAAATAATTCCTGCTGCTCAAGTCACCCACTTTATGTATTCTGTTCTTTAGCCCACACTGATTAAGATAGTGGTGATGGCTAAACAATTTGCTGAGTGTACTAAATACTACTGAATGGTTAAAATGATACATGTTATATTACGTGAATTGCAGCACAAACATAACAACAATATAATAATAAAACTTACATTGGCTCCCTATGTCCTAGGGGTCAAGTTCAGACTTTCTGGTGTAGTTTACAACCTGGCCCCTGCTTACATCTCTAGCCTCATGTCTCACTGTGTCCCTCAAACTCTTCATCTGATCAAATGTTCAAACTCCTCTCCGTTGCCTCGACAAGCCATGCACTTTCATGTTTCCGTGTTCACTCACAATTTTGGTCTCAATAATAGTAAAAACACACATATAGTACTTAATATATGCACATATACATATCTATCTAGTACTTAATACATGCAGAACTCTTTTTTTTTTAGATTTTATTTATTTATTTCTAGAGAGGGGAAGGGAGTGAGAAAGAGAGAGAGAAATGTCAACGTGTGGTTGCCTCTTACGTGGCCCCACTGGGGACCTGGCCTGCAACCCAAACATGTGCCCTGACTGGGAATCGAACCTGCGATGCTTTGGTTCACAGCCCGCGCTCAATCCACTGAGCTACACCAGCCAGGGCCCAGAACTCTTGATTCATTTAATCCTCACCAATTCTATGAGAGAGACACTGTTATTAACCTCATTTTAGGCTTGAGGAAATTGAGGCACAGAAAGGCTAAGTGACTTATTCAAGGCCACACAGCTTGTAAGCAGCCAAGGCAAGGTGTGAATTCAGGCAGTGTGCGTCCTGAATCCTTGCTATTGACCACTATGGAGTACTGCCTGTAGATGCTTTGTCCCTACGGTTTCTTCTGAAGAATTCCTTCAGGACCTGGTTCCAATATCACTTCCACTGTGAAGAGCCCCTTAATGTTCCCCAGGAAAGGGCCCAGTTCTTTTTTCTAGGATCGCTAGCACTCTGTACACGCATATCGTATGGTAACAGCCTGCCCATGAGTCTGATTCCCTACCCAAGTGTAAGGCTCCTGAAAACAGGGCAGGTCTTATTTCTCCTGACATCTCTGAGCACTCACTACACAGCTGATGAATTAAAGATGGCTGAGAAGCCCTGGCCCAGTGGCTCAGTTGGTTGGAGCATCGTCCTGTACAGCAAAATGTCGTGGGTTCAATCCCCAGTCAGGGCACATATGGAGGCAACCAATCAGATATTTTCCTCTCTCTAAGACCAATAAACATATCCTCAGGTGAGGATTAAAAAAAAAGAGATGACTGAGTACATTTTCTCACCATTTTTCAACTTCTTTCAATAAATAACAAAATCAAAGGGGAATCACATTCCCTCAGAAATTCTGCCATGGCTCCCTCAGGGTGTGGCCGCAGCTACTGGTAACCACTGTCATTTCCTGTGTGTCTCACCAGGCAAGAAGTCCATTCAGATTGACTTTCAGTGGTCCACATTAACAACAAATACTCCTGTTAATTTTCAAATATTAAATCGCAGTCTACTGGAGGTAGGTATGAAATGATAATGCTAATATAAATGTTCAAATTCAAAATGCCTCTCTAAGGACTATGACAGTCCCCTTCCTTTTTGAGATTTACTGGGTAGGCTAGACGGGGGAAATGGATTCTCGTTTGCACAAATAGGTATATACATGGGGGCAAGAAAGATGTGGGCGGATGAGAGGATGGATAAAGCCAGGAGCGGATAAGTGATGACGGATGAACGACGGGCGGATACACTGATGAACAGATGTGTAGGTGGATGGATGGGGAAGAGGATAGGGAATGGATAGATGTGGGTTTATGAAGAAATGTGGAAAACGTATGCAAAGGCGAGTGGGAAGTTGTATGGGAAGGTGGCTGGATAGATGAAAGGGCGTGTGGGTGAATAAATGGGTGGCCAGGAGGAGGGAGGGATGTGTGAGCCTTGGAGGGGTGTAAGGAAAGATGGGTAAATGGGTGACTGTGGGGATGGAAGAATTTTGGGGAGAATGGACGAGAGTGCGGGTGAATGGTGGGGGAATCCAGGTGCCAGAGACTGGAGGATACACATGGGTTAGTGGAGCCCCATACCAGCCCCATGGCTGACCATCTTCTTTCTCTGAACAGTTCTGATGGGAAGCAACATCCACCTGAGCCCTGTGGACTTGGCTGTTCTTCCTCTCTCCCCAGGGAAGAATCACAAGCTCTCCACCCCTCCGCCCCACGGTGGGCAGGGAAGCACTCCTGTCCGGGCTCCTCTCCTAAAATATCCAGCTGCCTGTGAAACCCAGAGAGAATCATCCTAGGCCAGATTCAAAGACAAACTTGGCAGAGAGGAGAGGTCAGAGGTTGAACCCAGATAGGTGAGGTTCCAGAATTCAGTCACCCTCTTTCTTGAGGCTGCCCTTCCAGCCGGCACCCCCTCTGCCTGGCACCCCGCCGCCTTCCCGGCGCACGCCCAGGAAATGCCGTTTTACATTCTCCTAGGAGAACGCGGTGGAAGCGCAGGGGCAGTTCAGAGGAGGGCCAGTACGTCTTTAAACCTCTGCCGAGAGCTTAGTCACAGCCCCCTCGCTTGGGTGTGTCCTCGCTAGCTCCCTCCCTCCCTCCCTCTTAGTCAGCTCTTGAATAAAAACTGCAACCGACTTCCGAGGCGCTCTCATTGCCCTGCAGGACCCCAGCCTCTGACAGGTTCGGGCTGCCCTCCTCGCCCTGTCCCCCAGCCCAGTGCTTCGGGTCCCTCCAGCTCTGCTCGCTTGCTCTCTCCGTCCATTCCAACAGCATGGACAAGATCGGGTGGCGCGCAGCCTGGGGACTCTGCCTCTTGCATCTGAGCCTGGCGCAGATCGGTAAGTGCCCTCCGGGGCAGCGGGAGGGAGTGGCAGGAGGGGTTGGGACAGATCCGCCAGCCACACTGGCTGAGTTGGTTCTGTGGACCGGAACCAAGGGGACGGTGTGCTCCGTGCGGTTCAATTTGGTTAAGGAAGACTAAGATTTGCGCTTAATTGTTGGAGAGTTTGTTGATGGAAATACCGTTTTATTGAAAGGAAAAGACAGAGAGAAGAAAGTTTGCCGGCAGGCTGCGGACGCGCCGTTTTGGGCGAGGTCGCCAGAAGCCGAGCACAAGGCGGAAAGTAACTGTACTCCTGGATGCGCCGTAGCTGGTGTCTGCACCAACAGGCTCCCGTCCCAAAGGCGCTTGAAGTCTGGCTGGGCTGTGGCTGAGGCAGGGCAGGGGCAGGGCCGGGCAGGGGCTGTTAGCGCAGTTGCCTGTATGAGAGCTGGTGGCGGTGAGCTTTCCAGGAAGGGGTCCTGGCTTCCCGTGGCTGCCCATTGAGCCTGGGTTTCAAAGCTCCTACAGTTGGCTCCAGTCACTGACTATCTTAGCACTAGTGGGAACTTGAACCGCTCTGTGGGGAGGCTCTGGGTCTCCACGAGGTCTCAGCGGGGGGCGGGGGGGGGCGGGGGGGGCGCAGGGAGTGTGAGCCCGAAAGGCAATGACGGGCCAGCTGCTCAGTCCTGGTAAACTTCTGTTTCTGCCAATCAGTTAGGGGAAATCCAGACAGTAACGTGGCTAATATTTCCTGCCTGGAAGCCTTGGAGAAGGAGCTGGAGCCAGGGCACCAAGGTTGCTTTAGGGGCCTTGGAGCTGGTGATGCTGCCAAAATTCCATCCGGACAGGGTCTGTGCCTTTCCGTGTGTGTGGAGGGGGTGGCTGTGTGTGAGGTATGCTGGTGGGGCTGAATTCCAAGTATCCCTTTTCTTTGTCTATATATGTACAGATAATTACATGGCTGATTTCCTTATCACTAGCAAAATTAATTTTTCTTTTAAGAAGTGCCAGCTGGGTCATTAAGACAGCTCAGCCTATGGTTAGTTCTGCTCAGCAAGTATTTATTAAACCCAGCTCTGGGGGTACCGGGAAAGTAAAAGACACAGTCCTCCCTGGGTACTTTAGACAGAGGATAAGTGGGGTTCTATGATTTAGATTCCTGAAATAAGAAGAAGAATGACGGCACTTACTGCTCACATTTGCTGTGCCAGGCGCCGTGCTGAGTTCTTTATGTGTGTTGTATCACTTCACCCGCATGCTGGCCCACCGAGAAGTGTTCTGGCGTTGGCCCGATTTTACTGCAGGGAAACACACCAAGGCTCAGAGAACTTAAATGACTTACGTGTGTTCACACAGCCAGAGGGTTGGTGCCCATGTAAACCCAGGCCCCCCAGTCTCTTCTCCGTCAGAATATGCTAGGCTGTATGTATGGCTGGGACAAAATTGTCAAGGATTTCGGGGAAGGGGGGCTGTGGTGGACCAAAGGCCTTAGCAGAGGCTGAGACTGGAGATTCGAAGAGCCCTTGAAAGGAGGAGACGCTTGGAATGGGAGAGAAGAGGGAAACTTGAGTGCGGGGAGAGCCCTGGGGCTGGCCTCGGTGAGAAGGAGGGCCTCGGGGGAAGTTAATTTGCATGTGCCTTCTGGTAACTTCTGCTTTACCTCTGAGGATTCTGACTCACGACCCTTGCCAACCTGTCTTATTCTTTTAAAGGTCCCCACCCCCAAATATGGAGTGTTGTCCTGACCCATGAGGCTCTCCCAGAGAGCTGCGGGCTCACTCCTGCCCCATGTTTCTGGGGCCCCTTTAGGCAGCGTCATCTGGAGGAAGCACAAAAAAGTGCCAGTAGCAAGAACTGCCCAGACCCTGGCTTGGAATTAAGACTTGGAAAGGAGCGAGACGTAATTTACCAGCGGGCTGGGGCTGGGCAGGCAGATAGTGGAAGGAGAAAGAGGGGCGGAAGGAAAGGAACTGTGTTGGCCTATCCTGGGAGTGGGGAGGGGGGTGGGCTCCAGAAAACAGGAGGAAACTTTGGAAAGGGGCAAGGCTGTGGGGAAGAAGAAGGTTGCAATCTCCCTATCAGAAAGCAAAACGTAGAGAAATGGCTACATGTGGTTAAACAATACTGGACCCAGAAACTCTGAGCCGGCGAACAGATACCTTGAACTAGTTGTCATACGTGGGTGAAGGAAAGTGGCCCCCCGGGTGAAGGGCAGGTGGGATGAGCTCTCCCACCCACATCTGTCTCCTCCTCCTGTCCGCTGTGGGCCAGAGGTCTTGCTAGGGAATGGCGCCCCTAGTGTTGAGGAAGAGGTGTGCATCTGAGAGCTCTGGAGCTTGGGGCTGGCGTGTGCTCTCTGCTCACGCTGAGCCTTAGAGACCCCTCTTGGGCATAGGAGTCTGGCTCTATTTTCCCAGGTGAAGGAGCCAGGAAGCAAGTCTCCATCACTGCTTGAAGTTCACATCAATTAATTCAGTTATTCCCCAGACGTACGTTGGGCATCTACTTCCCGCAAAGGCAGAGCGCCAGGTAGGCGTATTTGAGGCTGGCAGCCAGTAGGAAAAGGTTCCGTTTTCTTTCAAATGGCAGAGGTCCCTCCGCCACGGAGGAGGGAATGCCGGGCAGCATGGAATTCTTTGTGTATGACAGCTCTTTTCTATTCATTCAAGAAATATTTCTTGACTCATTGTTGCAGACTCAGAGGAGGGACTCCCGAGGATCATTCAGAAAAACCCCGTCTTTTTCCCTAGAAGGAAACAGACCCTGGATGAGAGGCATGACTTCCCCGCTCTCTGACAGAATGTGAGGGAAGGACACTCTCCATACTGACGGTCTCTGAAATGCCATTGTCATCTGGGGCCGTGATCCCCACCTCTGCCCCCTGCAATGGGTGGGCAGGGTGTGGTCTACTGGGGTTTCATGCCTTAAATACCATCTTAAACACTCATCACAGTTTTTTATTTTGCTCCACAATATCCCCACTTTGAGTTTAATCTAAAACAATGAGCTATCTATTTCTTACCATAAAGCACAGGTGATGCTCAATGAAGAGTTTCTGTGCTGTCCTGGGGCTTGCAGGGCCTCTCGGGCCATTGCTGGATCCCTTGGCGTGAGGAGCACCCCAGTTTTAAAAGCCTCACACTCAGCTATTGCACCATAGGCTCCTGTGCAAAGTAGTGTCCTAGGTGCCTAGGAAATAGCATTTATGAGCACCAACTCTATGCTAGGCATTCATGAGGGGGTTAGCACGGGTTGTCTTACAGACGCCTCACAACAGTGTACATACATTTAGCACTCTCTTAACTCCATTTTCTAGGCAAAGAGATTGAGGCCCAGGGAGATGGCATGACTCTCCCAAGGACACACAGCTAGTGAGTGGTGGAGTTGGGGTCCCCTGTTGTCTAACATCCCCCATGTTAGACTCCAAAGCCTGTGCTGCTTTGATTCATTACTTTGCCTCTGGCGGACTTTGTAAATTGGGTGTGGTCTCCCACCCTTCCTTCCATCGCTATGGCCAGCTAACGTGCTGCCCGGCCTGAGTGTCTTCCCTCGCCCCCAGCAGGCTGTGGGGCTCTTCCTGACCTGGCCTGGGTGTCCTCAGGTTTGGCCACAGCTGTCAAGAAATGCTAACCTAATTATTTATCACTAAAATAAGTCCATAATGTTATCAGAGTCCAGCTGCCCTTCTAGACAAGCTCTCATTTGCAGACTTGGAAAAAAGGGAGAGGCTGCTCCTTGTCTCAGAGACAAACAAGTTAGGACAGTGCCCTCTGTGTGAATAGGCCCTACTCACAGAGCCTCTCTCGTGGACCCGCATGCATTTAGGTGCACCGACCCAGAGTGCCCCCTCAACACCTGCTCTTTGGAAACACACAGCATTTAGCAGGTTGTATGAGCCTCAGTAAGGGAAGGTCTTAAGGACCCAGGATGACGCAGTTCTCTACAAAAGTCAAGGATCTGGAACTGAAAGCTAGCGTGGAGCTCCAGGTACACGTGGCCACCCAAGTGAGATTGCAGATCCGCCTGTGACATCAGGTGGTTCCAGGCTGGGGTCCCCTGATAGAGCGGAGGAAGTGGGTGGTAAGCTGGGCCTCCACAGCAGAAAGTCCTGGCTGGGGCTGGGGCTGGGGCTGAGCTAGGGGCTGAAGCTGTGTTTCCCCAGCACCACTGGTTTAGCACACTCCTCCCAGAGCCTAAAAGGGAAGTGGCTCTCATAAGGAGTGAGTGAAGCAGGTGCAGATGCTGCCAGACAAAGCACATCTCACAAAGGGGATCTTTTCTGCCTCAGAGAAATTCTGGGGTTTTGCACGGAAAGAAACTGATGACTCAATTTCCTTTGTGTCGCTACTTAAATGGGAAGTACACAAATGTTCTTTAGAATTAGCAGGTAGGTTAGTGCTTCCTACCTTTCATTTAAACCCCACTTTTCACTTACTTAGGAAGTTGAAATTTGCCTGAAATGTGCACTCCCATAAGCTGGCCAACAAAGGTGTGGGAAGCCAGCCCAATTTCCAGGATCAGGAAGGGGTGCTTTCTGAAGTTTGTGTTTGTGGATCTGGCCTGGCATGGGCACAGGGGCTGTGCATTCCAGACTTTCTAGGACAGTTGGGAGTTCACGTATGCAGATACTCTACCAGGTGATACATACTGTATACTTTGACTAAATATTTATATATTTTTTACAAATAAACACATGGCTTGGTGTGACTAGAAGTCAAAAACTTTGTAAGACTTTTTGCATAAATGAATTCACATCTCCACAACTCCTTCATCAGTCTAGTAGCCGATTACATTGATGTTTGGTTCCCAAAATGTCTACTTTGGAGAGAAATAGTTAGTGTTGTTTCCTTTGTTCTCCATTTCTTGATCATCCCAGTATGCGAAGTACCAGGAAATGCCACATACCCGATTGTCGCTTGCTAGCAGTGGACACACACCCGTGGGTGTGGCTGTAAGTCTATGCGCATCTGAGCACATATAATGTGGGTATGACTGGTCAACTGTTAAGCACTTATA